TTCAAGATTAGAAATTATTAGGTGAGCATCATAGTTTTTAAGATTGTGAAAGAATACTGGTATATGATATTTTTTAAAACAATAGTCTATATTGCATTTCATATGTGCCGCTCCTCTGTATAATCCAGTAAAGTGGCAATGGTCAGCAACTTTCTTTTTCGCTTCTACTCTGTTGTCAAAATTATCATTGCATAAGAAACACTTTTTAGCTTCTAAATGTTTAATTTCATCTAAATCTGACATAATCATATCTTTTGGATTTTTCATTTGTTTCATTACATCGTCTCTAATATTGTTTAATGTATCACAAAATTTATCCATACAATCTTGGCCTCTATATAAAAATGGTTTCATTTCTCCACTATAAGCATTAACAAGGTTAAGCATATAACCGCTGGGTTTATGGTTCTGATAAGTCCCTTTGATGCCTTCTGATGTTTCTGTTGTTAAACATTCAAAATCACCGTAAATAACAAATGGTGCTTTCAGTTTCTTAAAATGCTTTTCAAACTTCATTGTTGTTCCTTCTTCTGGCATTTTTGTTTGATGAATGTCATTTGCCATACAACCTTTTGATATGTGAGCATTTAAAAGCTTTTCTGATTGAAAACCGTGCTGACAGTAAATACAATGAAATATCTTTGTTTTGTGATTGTTGGTTTGACTACCCATTAATCTATTATAATCTTTTATTAAAACATAATGTTCGTTATTGTTTTGTTCAATTCGTAATAGATTGATATGACAAGATGGTCTTTCAATCTTCGTTATTCTGTCTGCTCTGATGGTTTGGTTCTCATCTTCAACATAAACATTAACTGATATAGATTTGTTATTGATTTCTTCAAAATGGTCTATGTCATCATTGGATGCTGGAAAATTTACACCGTCCCATTGAATTAGACTTTCAGTAGTTATTAATTTCTTGTAGTGTCTCATATGTTGTGGATGGTCTTTCTTGAAGACTTCATAAAATTTACATAAAACACAATATTTAAAACATAATTCATCATCATTTTGAATGTTGATACATGCTTTTTTCTTTGAAATCCATTCTGGTAGTTCCATATATCTTCCTGCTCTGTTCGGATTGTATTTGTCGTAGTGGATGGTGATTTTGTTAATCTTATTAATCTTCAATCCTGAATGTTTCAAAGGTGAGTTTTCAACTTGTAGTTCAATATCTTTAGGCATATTTTCCAATGCTTTTTTCAAGTCTCCTACATTCAAAATGTTGTATCTCCTACTCCTCATATCGTGTTTTATTTGTATATTTTCCTCAGTTGGTTCGTCTTCTCCATCATCATCATCTTGCTGGTTAACTTTATCAAACAGAACCTCAACATCAATCAGTAGTTTCATTGACTTTGCTTGTTGTAAAAACTCGGCTAGTTTCTTTTCTTGCCATAAAAGATATGTTAATCCTTTGTATCCCTTGAATGGTATGTTGGATATTGAATATGTGTTGGCGTACCCTTCCAATGCCGAAAATGTCTCTGATGTTTTTGCTCCTATTTTTAATCTGTATTTCTGGATTGTTTTAATGCCTCTCATTGTGTTTGATGCTTTTTTTAGAAGATGAAATCGTTTGAAACCTTGTGTGTTGCTGACTTGATTGAGTTTGTTTTGAAGTGATGAGGATAATGGTTTGTCTTTGTTGTAATAGTATTCTTTGTTGTTGATGATTAGTTTTTTCAATGGTTTGTTATTCTTCCCTGTTTTTATGGTTGCTTCTTTACTGGATAACAAATAGTCAATTACTGAACCCGAACTGAAATCCCTTGCCATATATCTATACTATATAAGGTATTTTCTCTTTAAGTAGTTTTGTTTATGTTTGGTGGTTATGGGATTGGGGTTGGGTTCAACATTGAAAAACAAATGGGTTTGGGGATGAAGAAACCCTCCTCAATGTTAGGTGGTCAATCCCCAAAATGTTAGGTGGCCAATCCCCAAAATGTTAGGTGGCCAATCCCCAAAATGTTAGGTGGTCAATCCCCAAAATGTTAGGTGGCCAATCCCCAAAATGTTAGGTGGTCAATCCCCAAAATGTTAGGTGGTCAATCCCCAAAATGTTAGGTGGTCAATCCCCAAAAAAATGTTAAGGGGTCAGCCGCCGACACCTTGAAAAGGACAGTCTTGTAGACTCTGCTGACGTTGTCTTCTTGGCCTCAAGAGCGGAGCGAACAAACAAAAACAAAAAAAAATGAAACAAAAGGGACACATGGCGACAGAGACGACAAAGCAGCTTCTTTTTCTCCATCACAACCCCAAAAATCTGTTTATGTAGCAATACGCTAAGGACAAACAATTCGCTTGTCATCCCCATAATTAGGCAGGACAGCATCGCATCTGATTAGTTCGGACAATGGTGTCAGTTTCAGAACTGGAAACTGGCAGTTTCAGAACTGGAAACTGGTAGTTTCAGGAAATGGAACAGGTAGTTTCAGGAAATGGAACAGGTAGTTTCAGGAAATGGAACAGGTAGTTTCAGGAAATGGAACTGACGCCACATTGACCGTTATTACAGTGGATTGCCAGATTTTGAAATCTGATTGAGCTGATGTCTTATCAGCCATCCAAAACCTAAAAAACACGTGCCATCAAATTAGCTACATCAAGGAGCAGTTGGAACTCTCAGAAGATGATTCGTCTTGGTCAGGCTGGTGTTGGACACCTTGACTTAGTCCTTCACGGTAGTTGATGGCGTTTTTGATGATGTTGAAGCACTTCTCGGGAGTGAAGACCAAATCGGCGCCCTTCTGTTGTGAGTATTCAGAAGCAAAAGCTTCTGTAAAAGCTTCCAGCATCTTCAAACGTATCTGCGACAAACGCCCAGCGCATTCATCAAGAAAAGCTAGTTCCCGAGAGACCAGAAACGCCCCTTGAATGATTTTGTCCTCTGTTTGTGAGCGGTTGAGCTTAGGGTCAAAGACGCAGCGTAGTTCCTCAAGCTTCGTGTCAGGCAACCGTTTGAGTGCCTCCTTGATGAAAGGTTGGTTCGCTTCAACCTTTGCCTTCACATTTCTGATGAAGTCCTCGGCTGGTTGAACCAGTTGTTGAAATTGATGAGAAGCATTCACACTGGCCACCGCATCCTCAATCGGCTCTTCGGTTTCAAACTTCTTCTTCTTGATGACCAGCATTGAGCGAGCCGTCAGCTTCTTCACATTGTCCTTGTGCTTCAAAAAGCCCTTGGACACATGGTTGTTCGGCATTGTTCAGAAGCAGAAACCACTAAGAAGACAAATGAACTATTGAGACAAAAACGCCTGCAGAATTGACTTCACTTGGCTCATGTCAAAATGTTGAAACGGACTTCGCACAAACAAAGCACAGCGTAGAACCTTTTGAGTATTCACTCAGGTAAAGCACTGCGAACTTCAGCCACTGTATCTTGGTCAATGACACCACCAGACACTTTCAACCCCACAGCTGTAAAGTCATTTCAAATAAACACTGTTGGAAGAAAGATACATGGATGATGTCAATGACAGGTGGTCTACTCTCGCTACTCAGGGATGGTAGGCATCACTGTGTCTCTTCGTCAATCGCCAGGTCCTCTTCCTCACTCTCTTCCTCAGTGTTGGATGACCCGATGGGATGAGCATTGTTGTCAGCATCACTGGACTGAGAGGGGTTGCCGAAGTCGCCGAGTGTCATGACCAAGGTGTCCCCATCAGCAATAGGCAGTGTGTTCAATCGACGAAGTCCGCACTTTGAAGGTCCGAAGTTGTAGAGTTCGGTTTTGTTGATGGTCTTGATGAAGAGCTTCTCAGACCTTCCCTTTGGGGCTTTCTTTCCCATGGCATCAAAGACCCTGTCCTTGACGAAGCCCATGGTTTTGCCCTTAATCACCCTGACCTGCACCGTGAAAGGCTTTGCGTTCTCGTCAAAGGGCTGCGCGTCATCCGGCATGATGTTGGTTCGCACAGTGATGGTAATCATAGAAGACCTTTCCTTTTTGCCCTCCTCGGACTTCTTCTTGTTTGCTTCTTTGGCACGAGCAATGCGTTGCTCCTCCTTAAAGGGAGCGGCCTTCTCTGACTGGAGCTTCTTCAAGTTGCCCTTCTCAATCTTCAAATCTGCCAACTGCTTTTCCAGTTGTTTGATTTCGGCATCCTTCTCGTTGATGGTGGTGTCCAGCTGGTTCAGGCTCATCTCTTCGGGGCTCAAGTTTTGGACCATCTGTTGGACAAGAGGGTCTTGACTGCTTCCACTCGGCACATTCGACAAGATGCTTGTCTCAACATCGTCTTCCTTCTGGTATCCATCGTTCATTTTCTTGGGGCTCATCACCACAGTAATGACAGGTAGAAGAGCAGGCAATCCGAAATGGCAAATGCTACACCTATCAGACTTTGAAGTGTAAAACATTGCGATGGATAAGCGTTGCTTTCAATGACACACTTGACTAAGGCAATCGCTTGATTTCTGTTGTTTCATGAGCTCTCACTGGGTGCCCGGACGAGGAGGAGTTAAGGATGATGAACGCGAAGCACAGCGTGGCCGACGGTGAAACCCAACCCTAAACAACAACAAAAAAAAAAAACGAAACAACACCCCATAACACAGACTCTGAAAATGTCAATATCTTAGACTGTTTCATAATGAAAAAATTGTAAAAAAATGTTGAGAAAATTTAGGAAAATTCCCCACAATCCCCCTTGGTGTTTTGGGCAAAATGGTTTGCTTGTTTAATTTCATCCCTGCCCCTGAAACCTTGAATTGAAAATACCCTACCCCAGGGCCCCCCTTATAACCATTTTTTCCCCCCCCCCCCTCATGAACGCCTCGTAGACCTGGGGATTTGTCTCTGAGATGCCTCAGAGTCATTTACCCACCAACTAACATGGAAGTGCACAACCCCCCTGTCCAAGAGGAAAGTAGTCTTTCTATAGGAGTCTGTGCACTTCCATGTTAGTCGGTGGGAGGGTAGTCTTTGGGTTCCTGGTGACCTTAGCCCCACTTCTGGGGGGTTTTGGTTGGGGTCGCTTCAGGCACGTTCCTGGCGTCGAGCTTGCTGCGGAACATGGACTACGTGGAGGGCAGGTGCCAGATCCTTGACGGAGCAATGCCTGTGCTGCTTGAGGTAAGGAATCCATTTGGGTGGCACGTCCTTTTTTGAGTTGGTACCCCGTTCTTTGGTGAAAGGAACGCCAAAGGAGCAGCAGCGGGTCCAGCCTTAAAGACAAGCCACCCATTTCGTGCTTTTGGGGATTCACCCTTGTTTGGGATCTGATAAAAGGGCACCATTAGTTGGACCTCTGAGAACCAGCAAGTTGCCATATTGTTTGGATGATGTCTGGCTTCCCAGTTTGGTTCCCCAAGACAGGACCCTTTAAAGGGCTTTATGGACCATGGATCAGGGTTGAGAGCATCCAGTTAGGATCAGTCGAATTCGCTGAAACGGCACGCACAACGCTGACTTCAAAGCAAGCTCTCTCAAAGTTGGAGGCAGTTATGTGTTTCTGGGTTGATCAAAAGATTGGTTTTCCATTGCAAATGACACATTTATTGGGATTCACCATCTGGAAGAAAAGTGTCCAACTTGTTGTCCTAGGTCTTCTTTAGATGCGAGCCCAACTGCGTCACCCTTGAAAATCGTGGTCCAAATAGGACCCAACCGCCCTGGCAGGTTTGTTCCCTGGGTACAACAAAGCCTAAGAAAGGTTCAAAAGGAACACGCGCATTTAAAGCAGCACCGCAGATTCTTTTTTTTCTGGCAGGGCTGTCTTTTTTTAAGGGCGCAAGGGCCCTTTCTGGGTTTTCTGCTGATGAGCCAATCTGGGCTCTCAGGCTGGCAGTCTTCCCTGCCCTTTCTGGGGATTCTGGGAAGCTTCGTTTCAACCGGATTTGGTGTCCGAGGATCGAGTCGCTGCCCTCCTCCTTCGTCACGGAGCGCGGGGTGGAGAGCCAGGCGAATGTCTCCAGGTTTCCTTTTGGTTGCCCTCAACTAGGACCCCCAGCCAGGTGCCCTTTTTAACCACTTTTTTGGTTGGGAGGGTTCCCCTTCTAAAATAGACCAAACAGAAAAACATCGGGTACCCTTATTCCCACCTGTCTACTGGAGGACCCAGTCAACCATCACAAAGGGGTCCCCCTATTTTCAGGAACCCCCATGAGGTGGACTGAATCTGGGGTTATGATTTTGACTGTTGTGAGGGGGCTCAGAGTCAGCAACTGGGGTTGTTTCCCTTTTGACCTGTTACTTGGGGTGTGACTTGGATGAAGATATCATGAGGCCAGTAAAATGAAAGATAATCTCGCAAATCTGCTTTCTTGCGTACCCCAGGCTTGCCATGTCAAAAGGATGGGTGCCAGGGTGAGCCTTCCAACCCTCCTTATTTTGATCAGGTGGGCAAGATGGTTGTTGGTTGGGTTGGGTTGGGTAGGGTTCGGTTCGGTTTGGTTCGGTTCGGTTTGGTTTGGAAGGTTGGTAGCAAGCAAGCAAGAAAGCAAAGCAAAGCAAAGCAAAGCCAAGGAAGCAAGCACGCAAACCAAGCACGCAAGGAAGCAAGCACGCACGCTTGTTGGCTGGCTGGCTGGCTGGCTGGCTGGCTGGCTGGCTGGCTGGCTGGCTGGCTGGCTGGCTGGCTGGCTGGCTGGCTGGCTGGCTGGCTGATTAGCTGCCTGGCTGGTTGGTCGCTTGGTTGGGTGGCTGGGTGAGTGGGTGGGTGTGTGAATAATGGCTTCTTCATTAGATGGATTCGGCTGCGATATGCAGCGTGACCGTTTCCCATTTCATGCAGAGCGAGGAAGGACTAAATGAGGAATTGATGGACGGTCGGACGGACAGATGGAGGGATGGATGAATGTTGAGATTCATTGATGCATGAATGGAGTAATGAAGTACTTGGAACTTGGATGGTTTGTTTGTTTGTTTGTTTGGATTTTTTGTTTGGATTTTTTGTTTGTTGGGTATTGGAGGTCTGGTTGGCTGGCTGGCTGGTTGGTTAGTTGGTGGTCATTTGTTGCTCAAGTCTCGTTCCCGACCCTGGCTCGGGCCCTCATGCCGCAGCTGGCAGGTGCTCGGCACCTACTTGATACGTCGCTTCTTCGGGGGCAGCGCGGACCGTTTGGAGGCAGCTGCGCTCGGAGCAGTTAAAAGGGCTGCGTCTTCTGAGTTGGAGCCCCTTTTCTTGACTGCTATTGGGCAACGGATCTTTAGACTTTAACTTTTTGGTTGAAATCAAGTTGGGTTTTCCATTAAACCCACAAAAAGTTAAACACTTTTTGCAGAGAGGTCAACAGCAACCAAGTTTTTGCGTTTTTTTCAGGGAAGCCAAAAGGAGCACCCGCCATTTTCAGGGATCCAAATTCCAATTCCTGAAAGAAAGGCACGCCCAAATCAACGGGTTGGATGCTGGCAGGCAGGGAGCTGAGATCTGCGCTTGTAATTCTTCGGCCGTTTTCGGGAGACCCGGACTGGACGCCTCCAAATTACCCTTGCCCCTCCCGGGCTTGGGCACCTTACTGCTCTTGGCATGTTCTCCCTATTGTGCCTTTGATCCGTGCTGCTTCTGCAACCGAACATGTTTTGTGGGGTTTGCAAAGATGGCTACTTTGGCACAGTTCACCCATATTTTCAGGCTACGTGTAGGTTGCCGCTCTTTTTCCTTTAGCCCCCAGGAAGAATCAACAAATTGGAGCACTTCAAACGTGCCTGAGTCAATCTTCAGGTGACCCCTGATTGGTGGTTTAGATTGGCGGTTTGAATTGGGTGGTTTTGGGATTTGAACCCCTGGTTCTTGGCGATTGGGAAGCTACCCCCCAAACTTCCAAGCCACCACGCCAGATCACCAATCAGGGGGAAAGCTTTCCTTCATGTTTCCTTTTCAACCTACAAAAGACAGAATTGTCAACGCTTCGCGTTGCCCGCCCCGGCCAGGCGGCTTTGGGCTGGCTCTGAGGTATATGCTGTGCTTTAGTTTGCCTTGGAGTGTTGTTACTAAGGTGAGTGAGTCGGCGCCGAGATGTGTGAGCTGACGGCCAGAACGAGAGCCGTAGAGAGCTACAGAATGGTGGGCCAAGCGCAGGTCCAAATTTCTAGGGAATTTGACTTCTTCTTTTTTTTGCGGGGGGGGGGGGTTGCCAGTTTCTAGGGGGATGTGGACCGGTCTCTTGACAGGTTTAGAAGGGAGTTTTGGGGGATTTGATTGGAATTGGATCGGTTTTAAGGGAATTTTGCCTGTGGATTTGAGCAGAGTTTTGAAGGGGTCTGACCTCCCAAGCTGGGGGCCGGCTGCTTCCAGGCTTGCTTCAGGTGGACTGGAGGCAGCTGGTGGGCCCTAAAAGTCTTCCAATTTGCTTTGGAACATTGTGTTGTTTTCCCCTCTTGGCTTCAGGGAACCTATCACTGCTGGAAACACGTTTTCATATTCCAGGGGGCGAAAAACGCAAATGGAAGCGAAGGCTTCGGCGCAGGGGCACGGCAAGCCGCGATTCCTCGGATCCCAGGGCTACGTGCTGCAGCCCTGCGAGATCAAAGTGCTCTGCGACCAGGATCTGCAGGGGCCAAACGACAGGCGCGGGTCTGCGACGCTGCGGCGTCTGCGCGGTACGGGCGGAAACATCGTAATTCTAGGGGTACCTTCCATTTCAATTCTTTTCAGGGATCCTTCTTTCTAGAAAACTTCGTTTTTGAAAGAACGATGGTTGAAAAGAATGGGGAATCAACCCCTACAATAACGCGGATTTGTCTCGTGAGAAGGGCGAGCTCCAAATTGAAGCCAAGAGCGAAAGCTACTTTTCCCATTTGCTTTAGGGCTTTCGACCATGGCTCACGTGAGCTCCCCCATAAACAATACATGAGGGCTAGTCTCAAAGTCACCCAAATGCTAGCTGATTTAGAGGATTCCCTTCCAACACAGCTGGTTTCGGCTGCCAGGTGCCCTCTTACCGTTTCCTTTTTTGGGGGGAGGGTCCTCCTACACAAATAGACTACAGGAAAACGGGTACCCTTGCTCGAACCTCTCTACTGGAGGACCTAGTCAAGGAGCCCCACTCACTTCAGGGGGATCAGCAGCACAGCTCCCCTCAGAAAAAACCAAGAACGGGTGGTTCAATAGCAAGAGGGGGAGAGCGAGTGCAGAAGGATAGGAACATTATGTCGCCAAAAAGGGGCAACCAGTTGATTGAAGTTCTTGAGGGTGATGACTAAGAAGATTTTCCACCCCTGGCAGTCACGCCGATCCTTCGTGCCCACTGGGTGTCGCTACAGTGGGCCATGCCACGCGAGAGCGTGGGAGGTGAGGGAAGTTCGATCCCTCAAAATGCTGGATCCTGTTTTTTTTTTTTTTTTTGCGAGAACCCCTCAACACGCACGACATTCCCCGTAGACACCCGCTTTTCATGCAAAAGGAGGCCCGCAGAAAGGCTCGTTTTGGGCGCGTCAGAAAGGGCTCACTTTGGGTAAAAGGGCGACTCAATCCCATTGGGAAAGGGTTCATGAAGAAACGTCTATCGAGGAAACCTGCCTCGTGTCGTTTTTTTAGGGAGCCCTTGGTTTTCAAAAGGACACCAATTGGTTTTCAAAAGGAAGCCAAAAGGGAAAGCTCGTTTTGAAACACACTCATATGGGTGTTTCTTTCTTTTTTATTTTTTCCGGGCACCCCCAAAATTGGTAGTGTTGCTTTTGGTTCCTTTAAAAACCAAGCAACAAGGGACCCTAAAAAGGACGCATCCATATATGTCCGACCATTGAATCTTAGGTGCGAGAGCTTCAAGATGTGGGCTTGGCGGGATCCCATCACCTGCTTCTACCACCAGGACGAAGGGAAGTTGGCCAGATGTGAACCCATGAGAATCCATGGGCCATTCTTTGCAGGAAAGAAGGCGTCAGCGAAGTGGTAGACTGGGCTCTCCGAACCATCTCCGAACCAAGACTAGTTCTGATATGTTAGGATACGAACCAAGACTAGTTCAGATATGTTAGGATAGACTAGACATGGGTATGGGTAAAATGACTAAACCGCCACAAAACCGCAGGTTTTAGTCC